ACGACTCCCCGGCCGAAGTGTATGGAGTCGTCGTTGTGATAATACGAAGCCTGAAATCACCTCCGAGATCCGAAAAAAGATCGCTGATCAGCTCTCGTCTCTTCTTGCCCAGCTGCGAGCTATTCCGCCTCCTGAAGATGGCGCTGTTTGTGGATTTGTCGGCGGTCCTCTCCACTGTGAACGTCTTGCGATATTTTCGCCGCAGAAAGGGCCCTGGAAATCTATTGCGGACTTTCACTCTTATCTAATTCCTTATGCACGGCCCTCCTCCAGAGGTAACTGAGCTGGTGTGGGACACTATCAAAAAGGCACATAGCCAGTCACATCGTATCTGCTTCAGTCATGGTGACCTCGGTGCACACAACGTGCTTATTGACGACGAATTCAACGTGACCGCTATCATCGATTGGGAGATGGCGTCGTGGATGCCTGAATATTGGTCTGTATCTTTTCGGTTCTTGGTCATGCGATAGACCGCTAATATTGTGATTTAGGGAATTCACGAAGTCGACGTTCCAACCTATTTATCGCGGCAAGAAGTCCATGTGGTTTCAGATCATGTCAAATGTGTTCCCTCAGTATGCCCTTGAACGTCGTGCGGAGTTATTCGTATGGCGATACAGGGAGCATTATTCGTAAACTTGCGTGCCTGTATGCGCATCTCTTTCATGCGGCGTATCTCGCACAGGATGATGGGACCTGCGGAAAAGCCTTTCTTCATCATGAATATGTTTACTCTCTCCATCGTCTGCTTGGATCACGACAAAGTCTTCCAGGACACACTCAAAAAATCCTCAAAGTCCAACAATCCAGATTGCGAAAACATGCTAATTCATACGTTCTGTCGCACGAAATTAGAGTTCGCCGCTTGATCTAGAGTATGCCAGGGGACCCCATGATAAACTCGAAGGTGAGGTATTTCTCATGTCATTGCCCTCAATCACACGAACTGACCAGCGCCGACCGTCTCCCCAGATACACTACACATCCATATCCACAGCTAACATTCCGTGCATGTTTGGTGTCTATAACTGGGATTAGGACCGCATAAATTTCAGATTCTTATGACGCCGGCGAGCTTCTGCCTGGGCCTCCTCCCTCGGTTGATTGGGCTTAGTGACGAACTCTGAGCTATGGGCGCGGGTCGCTGTCAACATTTGTGTCACTCCCACGAATTATACTCCGTTCCGTGATCATTTCGAGGACTAGATGGCTCTTTTGCTTGCTTCACCTTTTCGTTCTCGTATTCTTGGGCTTCGGGGGCTCTATGATTCTCTCAGAAATGCTGCCAGATACAATGGTAACTGGCTTTAGGGCACCTGCTATTTACTAGACTCTGACACTCAATGTTCGGCGTTCGACCTCGATCGTCAGAAAACACAGGTGAGACCGAATTTAATTTTCTTCCCCTCGTCCTTTGATTAAAGCTTCAACTTTCACAGCGTCCCGAGCTGATGCTGCGGATACCCTTAATCCCTCGAAGTGCATGTGTATCCACGCATTTACCCTCAACAAACGCCAAATCCGACATGGGAATGTGAACATTCGAGCGCAAAGATATTCCGAGGTCCCAGACTCTATCTTAAGTTTTCTGGTATAAGCTTTCTGGTATAAATTTCAGCTTCGGGGTGATTGGGACGAGTCAAACTCGAACTCCATCGTACTCAGCTTCGTCGTATACTTCCAAATGCACTCTAAAGCTCTTCATGCTTTCGTCGTCGCTGCGGTCACGGCGGCTTCAGGTAAGCTACCCCTCTTTGTTTTCTAATCATCACTCAGGAAATTGCTCACCAACCTTCCGTCGTCATCACCATACAGTTCACGCCATAGGAGTCTGCGGAGACAACGACTCTGAGAAGACCGTCTTCGAGTCCTCGCCACTCACTCTTCCCTCGGGAAGTGTGATCACTATGGAGCGCTTCACCTGTGTTGATCGTGCTAACGGTTCCTCGGAGCGAAGGGCCCCAGCTCCGGTTGCTGCAGCCACCCAGAACAGAAAGCGCCATACATTCGCGGTTGATATGACCCCAAGGGCGTCGTCGGAGTGCACTGCGTCGAATTGCCAGTGCGGTATTCCTTGTACGTTTCTATCCAACCTTTATCGTTCACGTTTACGTTGAAGATTATGCCTGATAATTGCACTCCGTTCAACTTTCGACAGGCCTCTTCAAGGGGTGCGGTGCCGACTTTCAGCCTATCCAAGCGATACATTGTCAGGAGCTCTCGGCTCAGCTGTCGAATACTCGTACGTTACTCTTATTTCCATCACCACGTCCTACTGGATTTACTTACACTCGCTCGCAGCTGGGACATTCACGATCCCCGCCGACGAAGGCATCGGGTTCATTCTCCAGAGCTGCGAATACGCAGTCTTCGTGAACAGCGCGACGCAGTCCGCTCAATATTGTTTTGATGATCTGGTGCGCCCAGCTTTATTCTACTTATTTACTTTTCTGGTAACTCATTGGTTGGAATAGGGCGTCGCCGCCGCGGAGCTTTTCGCTGTCTGTGGTACGCAGCAGGGCGCGTGCGGGGGGAGTAATGGGGGTTTCTTTGTCAAGTGAGTTCATTTCAAAGCTCTCTTCTGCCTACATCATCCCAAACTAATGATGCAATCAGCCAAGTGTCTCTCTAATAAATTCTGCGCTCAAGAAGGAACTATGGATTGGTTAACAAAACGTTTTGTATCGCAGTTTTATTCCGATATACGTATACATCATCCTAAAGTTAGCAATTACTCTACCGTGAGTCTTGCAATAAATGTATACCGCGAATGTCTGGAAACGCGCGCATATTGAGACTCGTAATACTCTCACGTAGGTAAAGTATATCGATACTAACTTTGTTGGCCTCGGAAGGGATCCACGCAACCGCGTCGTTCTTGCCGTCCTTGTTCCTGGGACAAAAGCAGAGCAATGTGTAATTGTCCACGATGACGCAGGCTTCGCGAATCCTTTATATTAGTTTAGCCACAGGCTCAAAATGGGTTTTTTTTTTCTCGAATTGCCTACTATGGCTTGCACCGTAAGTTGCTCTGTACGCTGATTCAATCGAAAAAAGGACAAAAAATGACAAAGTTGAACTTCTTGATCGGGAGCAGTTACAAGTGGACACACAATCGGCCTAAAATGGGCTCAAGGTAACCAAACTGCCTCTGTATAGCCACTCAACGACGTCAACATCGGCTCTCTTTTTACCACCACCATCCCGCCTCTTGGACGACTTCATCCGCAAGTGTCTTTTCACGACCCGCCTTTGACTCTGACGTTGTAATTGACGAGCAATTGCTTCTAGGTCAAGTATGCCCTTCCTCAATGGTTTTAATGCGTCCGTTGTCGTCCAGTGTAATGAGCGCGCTCTGAACGCCTACGGCATCGTTATCGATGAAACCCAGCGGGTTCTTAGCTGTTGGATTCCCTACGAGGCGGGGCGGGTAAGCATTTCTCACTCTTCATCCCAAGCGACGTGACGCGCCGATGTCCCTGACGTATATTGTTTAGTATTATAAGGTCATATGGGGCTGCCAGAAACGCTTTATGGAGAGTCGAGGAGACGTATTTATTGACGGCCATGCGGTCGGGAGCGAGATAATCCGTTACGAACACGGGGGGAATCAGCCTTTGGTTGCGAAGAAGGAAAGGTCGTCGTTGACAAGTTGTGATCCCGAGCCCTTTACATTCCCTCTGCAATTGAAGGAGGAAGAAAGCGAGGGTGAGTGGAATACTTTAAATCGTCCATGTAACTTTATGAGAAAATTCTGACCATGGATGTTAGATTCCGCCATGGATACCTCTACGAACGCGACAGACGAAAACCCCCATCAGAGCGAGATTCGTCTCGTCATTCACCGCATCGGTAAGAAATCTCCCTGTATTATCTATGTAAGTTAATGATCTGAATCTCTTTTGACAAGTTGCTCACGGAAAGGCTGCCTTGTTGAATAATCCCGACCTCGAGGAGAGCATCGAACGCATCGCCACTTTTGTGTTCAAGTACAGAAGCATGGGTGTGTAAATCTTTTGTTTTATTGAACAAACAGCGAACACCGTTGACCTTATACGCCAGAATATTTGAAGAAACATGGCATCGATCGTCAAACTACGGCTATCATTCCTCTGAGGATTATGGTACACTTTCATTCATTTTATTCTCAATCGTTATTCTATAACTCAATCTTCTTCTACATAGGATTTTGGCGTTCCTGCGAATCAGGGGGATATCAAATCCCAGTCCGTAGATGTGGAAACGGAAGACGTTGATGATGATGAGCTGTTGGACTCGAAGATACGCGAAGCGCAGGTCAGTTCCATCCACTATCTCGAAATTGACATCACTAAAGTACCCATGATACCAGGGACAACTGAATGCCCTCTATGCAAAGAAGATGGAGAAAGAACGCAAGCTTATCAACCCAAATAAGCCTGCTCGCTATCGTAAACCGAAGATTCTGAGAACGCCATCAGCAAGACAGAAGTTGGAGGAGGAGATACAAAAGCTTCCCAAGGCGCTAAGAATGCGCGCCCGGCAGGCTGCTTTGGAGGGCTTGGTATATGCCCGAATGCATTGCCCGAGCGATCTCAATGTTAACCCTCAGGCTCCGGAGATCGTCGAGAAGAAGCCTAAAAAGCCGCGTAAACGGACTAGATCCTCGTCGAGGATACAAGGTCAGATCGCATTGGGGATAAAGGAGATCAGGTTGGACGATGGTCCAGGGTCTACCGACGTCAACACAGGCCAATGAGCTGCTTCGACATCGACTTAGGTGATATCTAAACACGTTTGTATATTTCTCAGATTCGCTTTTTCTTCTTAGTTGTGTATTATTTGCTACGACTCGTTTTGTCTTTGAAAGTGTTCCGATATCTATAGCACGTATAAATAATAAAATACCCTCGCATACATCAAGTAGAGTACGGCAGAGTCCAGAGTCTAGACGCTCTCTGGAAAAAGTCAATCGGCTGGGCGCAGCGACTCTGACTCAGTAACAAAAACAACAGAATAGCCCACCGCGAGGGTCGAACTCGCAGCCTTCAGATCCCGCCTATGTCATAACGATAAGAGTCTGACGCTCTATCCGATTGAGCTAGGCGGGCGGTGATGGGGTGGCCGACGATGGTAGAGTGGGCTGCCGGTGAGAGGTAGGGCGGGGTGTGGAGGGGAAGAGGAGAGCAATAGTACTCGTATGTTATATTTTATTTTCACTCCAGCTGAGTCTGCTTCTCTTTAACACTAGCATTCGCAGCCGGGACATTCACAATCCCCACCAACAAAGGCATCGGTGAAGACTCCGCTACGCAGTTTACGCAGTACTGTTTTTCTGGTGCGTGTAACGTTAACTTGATTTAATTTCATATATATCTACATACTTTGCTAATGAAAGGTCGACTCGCGTCTCCCCGACACCTTGCTGATTGTTTACATAAAATGCATTGCTTTAGAGAATAAGACTATGTAATGTATAGTTTTATAACATTATAGTGTGTATAAATTGTAACTATTGCAAACGATGGTGAACGTCTAAGCTGTCTATTCGAAATGTGTGTTAGACAATATCCATGGGCCAGAGTATAAGAACGCACATCTTTGTTTCTCTTGGTCGAAGATCCAGCATCCTTGGACAGTCCCTCCTCCTGGTCAGCACTCCTTTTACGCTTATCGCCTTGCCTTGTCTGAGGCGACACTGAAGGTCCAAATGCCTTAGCAGCGGCAGCCTGCTCACCTCTGCTTGGTGCTGACTTGGTTGGTGACTTGCGAGGTGACTGAGCTACAGAAAGCGAACATTGACCCAGCGAATTGGCAGATGTGGTGATCTATAGTGTAGAACATGATATAAGTATCGGTCACTAAATGTCATGAACAGTGGACGCACCAGTAGGACCATGCGTAATACCTACGAATTGTGGGTGAAAAACGGACAGAGACAGTCGAAAGCAATGCAGATGGTGCCGAGACTATCCATCCCGTGGAAACGATATCAAGGAAGAGGCTCGAGCTTATGCAGTACCACGTAGACGGAGTAAAGAAAAACGGGAACTTCCGGTCATTGTCTTGGTGCTGAGGGTGACACGATTGGAGGCACTCGGGTTGCGTATTTGCGCGGGCAGTATTTTGAAAGGAGAAGCAAACAAGGACAACGTATCAAAACTTTTGAAAACTGGATACTAACATGAACCCACACATCGTCCGGCACCCACCTTTCGTCCAGTCACACATCATAACGCTCTAAAGAAGGAAATAAATCAAGTTCCGCATGATGGGATCGTGCGAAACTTCCAAACGACCACAGGATGCGTCACCACGTTTCGATCACTGTGGCTATGTAAAGTCCAATCTCCGACCCGGCAAGCCTCGGCGAGAGTGACAACCACCCGATTTTCTAACTTTCCACTGGACTCCTTTCTGACAATAAATCGAGGTAGAGAAGATTAATATCATATCATAGACTACTACTCCAGAGTTTCAGGTTGATTGAGCGACGAGAGAGAGAGATATTCAAGGCGGACGAAAGGTAGGTGCCGGACGATGTGTGGGTTCATGTTAGTACCCAACTTTCGTGGACCGCCAGTTATTTGCGACCGCTTTTGATGGAGATGATGAAAGGAGAAGCAAACAAGTACAACGTATCAAAACTTTCGCTCAGAGTTGGATACTATTACCCAACTTTTCTAGGACCCCCGAATATTAGGCCAAATGTTAGATCCCGATCCGGACAGATTTTGGTGATTTCCGGCCGCTAGGCCGGAGGAAAAACGGACAGAAAGTGGGCAAATTTTGAGTGGATTTTGCCTAGGATAGATCCCTAGGATTGGACAGATTTCTGACGTACAGTAAAGGCCAGATCCGAGATACAGACATATTGTGTAGTTGGAGATCGTGGTTTTTGTGGAGACACCATTTCAATTTGGGATGAGAGTTCAATATTCAATTCTTGGTACTTTTTGTCGATGCGGATTATGTTTTTGTCATTGTTGATGATGTGATCTACATTGGGCAAGGTGGTTATCCAATGTATCATTGTTACGTTGAAGACCTATTAGTGGATATCACGCAGTTTTGGCAATGTATTTGAAGACTGGTGACGCGAACTCTAAGAACAAGTGGGTTTCTTCAACAACCAACATCTCTGCAGTGTTGAAGATTGTCATACAAGTCTTCGAATACAGCCACGGTTATCATTTCACGTCTAAATCGACGAAAACGGCAATACTCAGTGTCCACCAATTTGCGCACCTTCCTTCCTTCAACATCTTGACGCTGTTGTTATCCAAGCCTCGAAACATTGACAAGGGTGGCTTTTGATCTTTCGGAGAATGATGTTCTTCTTTTCCGTTGGTTGGATTCTAATGATGGTCGAGCATCGTTAAAGGAAGCAATGAAAACTTTTAGGAAAGGTAAGATTACTTAATACCCTACAACACTTCTATATGTAGTATGTTTCTATCAATTTACGTGTTCTTGCTGTTTTTAATGCATGTCTGTGCTCTGGGAAGCCAAATCCGGGTGTTCTGACAATTTTTGAATTTTTAGGAGGTCAGGAAGGCCGGATCCGTGGATCCGGACAAATTTGAGATTTTGGAAGGCCTGGGAGGTCAGATCCGATAATCCGGACAAATTTTGAAAATTTGGGAAAGGCCGGGTCCTTTTTGGACAAATTTTTGATATTTGGGTACGGACAGGAAACCGGGATTTTTGACTTTTTGGGATCTAACATTTGGCCTAATATTCGGGGGTCCTACTTTTCTGTACCGCCAGTTATTTGTGCGAGCTTTTGATGGAGATGATGGCAAATAGAGACAACGTATCAAAACTATTTTCCTTATTTGTGAATTTCCAACGTGGGGGACCATTGCTTTACAGCAAGGTGATAAATACTGTATGGTATGGTTCTCTTTTGCCTTGTTCGGGATTCCCGAATTGACGATGCGGTTCTCGTTAATAATAAATATCACACTCTTGTTCCAGTATATACAGGTTTGGATGCCTACACAATTCTGCTGGAAGTACTCCGCAGAAAATAATTATTCAGCTAAAGGTCTGTGATATCAATGACTACGACTGCTACTTTGACACCTTCGGAGATAGTCTTGACTCTTCTTTTTCCATATCCATCCCGAATAACCTCTTTGAGCTCGCGCTTGCGAGTTCGGATTCGTTGGAGTTCATCCTGAAAGGGAAGGGCGAACAGATTCAGAAACGACATTGACAAGTTCGAATCCCCAAACCTGCTCATTTCAAATTATACCAACCTCGCGGTCGGGCACCTCGAAGCTTCACAATCACAATGTTCAATAATATTGACAAGCTCGTCGTCTGGTCCGAGTCATTCAATCCACGTCGCGTCGCGTCGTGCGGCATGCGTCACAGGTCTGAATCGCGGTCCTCAAAAACTAATACCCCGCCAGGCGTCTGTTAGAATTTGAGATCCAATCCAGAACGGCGACCCAGTCCTTCCTTGATCGTGCGTGGCACAAGTAGTCCCAAGTCCAGACCTAAACCATACCCCCACAAAAAAATAGTGTGAATCATGATACTAAGACTCCAACCATATATATAGTATAGGTATAGGCGTGATACACCATCCCGAAAACAGGCGGATAATACCAAACACCATAATTAATCCATAATTAATAATAATAGAAGAAGAAAAAAATGAACTCGTAGCCCACCGCGAGGGTCGAACTCGCAGCCTTCAGATCCCGCCTCTTGTCTGTCATACAGTACTGTATTGATAAGAGTCTGACGCTCTATCCGATTGAGCTAGGCGGGCTGTGGTAGTGTGGGGCGGGGGGCGTGGGAGGCGTGGGGGAGGTGGCGGGCGGGGGCGGGAGTGGGAAGAAAGGGAGAGGGAGAAGGTCGGGCGGTGAAGAGGGTGGAGGGCAGTGGGCGGAGAAGAGGGCGGCGAAGAGGTGTAGGCGGAGAGAGGTAAGGGAGCAAAGGGCTGAGTATGAAGGATGGAGGGAAATCACAGAGAGTGCAGCAGGAGGGAAAGATAAACGGAAAGAAGGATGGGATGGGATGGGATGGGATGGGATGGGATGGGATGGGATGGGATGGGATGGGATGGGATGGGATAGCGTTGACGAACGCGGTTTGGGATGGGCCGGAGAGAGGACGGCTGACTGGGATGATAAGCGAAGGGAAGGAGGATGGAAGGGACACAAGCAGAGGGACACGAGCAGCAGAGAGGACGCGGACCTGACGTGAAGTAAAAGCAAAAGACGACGCCCGATAGTACGTAGATCAAGAGGACACGGGATATATGCGAATGAACGAGGAAGGGATGAACGAGGAGGATGGGATGGGACTCTAACGGGAGGTCCTGTAGGAGCGAGCGGCGGCGGCAATGTACGACGATGGTGGACGATCTGGGGATGGTGCGGTGGCAGATGTGGATGGGTAGGGATGCACGGAGAGTAGGGTTGAATGGAGGAAGGACTAGCCGCTGCATATCACGATCGGACGCGATAGAGCCAATCCACCAAGGTCCCGGTCATCAACCCACAAGCACATGAACCGACGAACAAGAACACAACCACATCTAATCGACTCCGCAAAGGTCAAAGGGGCGAAGACACGACACGACAACAACAAATAATCGCATTGAAAGTAAAAAGTAAAATAAAAAAATCCACAAAAGAGGGGGGTATTACGAATATGAAGAACGACATAAAAGAAAAGAAAACAGGACGTCCCGTTTCCATTTCCCTCTCATGAGCCGGGATCATGCAGCACAGCGAGGATATACCGATCATCTACACCACCAACCCACCCAATCAGCAAGGCACGAAATCGCGAAGAGCAAGTGTATGTGGGGAGGAAGGGGGAAAAGGAAAGGAAGGAGACATACCAGGCGAAATCATAATCTCATGCCTCTTCGTGCGTATCCGCATGAACCTCACCTCGTCCTACATCCCAAACCATCAGCAAATCATACCCCTTTCGTCTCTGCTAGCTAGAAAAGAGGACTCACCACGTCGACCTCGTCTCCTCGTCCCGCCGCTCCTTGACCTTGCCCTATCCCTCCCTGTCCCTGTCCCATCCCTCCTTGCGCTTGTCCTCCTCCAGCCGATCCCACCCCCACCCCCACCCCCGAACCAACCCCATCCTCCCCCTGCACCTCCCACAACCCCGCCTGCACCACCTCCACAATGCGGCTCACCACCGCGGCGTACCGCCGCCCCTGCTCGCCTTCGAAGATGATCCCTGAATGGCGGATCATGCGTGGGTGGTGGTGGTGCGTGTGCGTGGGTTGGTGTTGGTTGTGGTTTTGGTTGTGGTTTTGGTGTTGGTTTTGGTTTTGGGTGCTAGCTCCGCTGGTTGTGGGTTGTGGGTGCGCGGAAGAGTGTGACGGATGCAAAGATGAAGAAGAGTGAGGCGCATAAGGCGATCCACGCGTGATGAGCAGATATCCAAGCACGGAGCGATGCGATGTCATCAGCGCGAGCGTCTGCTCGAGCTCGGGCGGCATGGGTGCTGACGTTGACGTTGAGGTGCTCGTCGTTCCTGCACCCGCCGTCGTCGCCGTCGTTGTTCCGCCATTGGTGCTACCACCACCACCACCACCAGCCGTCGTCGTCGTTCCCGTCATTGCAGTAGGAGAGGACCCTACCGCGAAAGGCCCTGTCCCTGGCCCCACTGCTGTTGCTGTTGTAGCGTACGCCTACATACAATCGGAGCGCGTGCGTGAGCGACGCAGGGTGGGGTGAGGAGGGTATGGGATGGGATGGGATGGGATGGGATCGCGTACCATCGTTACTATCCGGGATCTGGATCTCTCGTTTGTGGTATGGTGCGGTGCGTTGAGAGGAGGGGTGAGGTAAGGAGAGGAAGGAGGAAGAGGAGAGGGTTAAGGCCTTAAGGGAGAAGGGATGATGAGGACGGAGATGATGAGTACGTAAGCAATCTATCTTGGCTATCAAGTTGCACCATGTCGTCGACGGTCGAACTCTCGCCTCTCACTTCCCGCCCTTTCCAAGTACGCACTCACCCCATCGACACCATTATCGTGCACCTGAACGGAAAGGAACGGAACGGAACGTCGCTCTCTACATAATACACCTCTTTCGCTAATTTTTTTTCAATGCAATGCAAATTCATGTGTGTATGCTCCGTCGCCCTTCGCGGCCACGGGAGTCGTGTTTGTGTCATTGCTATTCGTTTCGCCTCTTCTCAGTGTTTCGTGTGCTTGTGCTCGCTAGTGCTGACCTTGGTAGATTGGCGATCGCGAGTCGCCCCGTCTCTGTCTCTATCTCTCACCAATCTACCATCTGCCATCGTCGCACATTCACGCCCGTCCCCATCAAAGCTCCCTTCCTCTGAATCGACCCTACGTATACCCCATGTCCTGTCCCTTCCTGCGTACTCCATCTGTTCGTCATACATAGATCCATCCCGCGCTGTTACTATCTACTGCTCTCCACCGCGCACCCGTCCGTCCGTCCTTCACCCGCCCATATCCCTCTTCTCCTTCCTCTAGCCCGTCATCCTCACCTCACATTTTAGATCTCACCCCCTCGCCCTCACCACGGCGCACCGTCGTCGTCATTCCGTCGTTCTTGTTCCCTTACACTTCCTAACCCATATGCAACGCCGCCTTAATATACATATTCCCTCCCCTCCTCTCGCGCCCTCCCCTCCATCCTTCATCATCTGCCTTCTTTCCCCGCCTCTCATCCCGTCCCGTCCCATACTCCTCCTCATCTTCCCCCGTCCTCCGCACCGCACCCCCTGCACCCCTCCCCCCGCACCCCTTCCTCCGCACCAACGCCCCGCCCATACCCCGCCCTCCCGCTCCCGCCCACGGCCCGCCCCCGCGCCACACTACCACAGCCCGCCTAGCTCAATCGGATAGAGCGTCAGACTCTTATCACAGAGGCGGGATCTGAAGGCTGCGAGTTCGACCCTCGCGGTGGGCTACTATGTTCTTTTTTGTTTTGTTGGTGTTTGATATGTATCCGACAGTCGACTCTTCTTTTGTTTTTGGTTTCCATATGAAATTTTAATACTGAAACAGGCTTGCAATTTAAAAATTCCAGCTGAATCAGCTACTCGAACGACTCTATTCAAACTTGGCGGTCGGAAATCCGAAATACGTTCGCAATACCATCCGGCCAGCCGCCGTTCTGGTGACCACTCGGGACCGGGGACTCGGGGGTTGTTAGAACAAGCGCTGAATCATATCTAACCCCGCCCCGATGCTTGCCTCGATCGGTGGTAAAGGCGCATATATATAACGATTCTGTATGGAGTCATCACTGTAGCATCCAAATCCAACAAGCCAAATTGCGTGAAGGCCAAGAAGGCCAAGAAGATGTTTCTGCGCCGCGTATGTATGTTTCCCGCTGAATAATGTGACCCACGACAACGTCAGTTTGGCCTTTCTCTTCGTTTCGTTCGTTCGTTTCGTTCGTTCGCGAAAAAAGTTAGACCGACCGACTGTGTTTGGGATCTTTTCATTTTATTTTTCGAGGCAATCACTGTATTTGGTGTATTGTCACGGTACCGTATGTACATGTACACGACTGCCAGACGTAAGTAAAGTAAAGTAAGTGATGCTAATATCAACGAGCTGGGATTTCGATACCTGGGCTTACAGCTCGCATCGAATCTCATTGACACCTGATTTTACTGCGAGTGAACAGCCGTATAGAGCATCGCACCCTCCGGACATCGTCTCCTCGCAAACAGCCCGCGCACGGCTACACATACTCCCACATCTCATCCTCCACCGCACCCACCCACACCAGCACCAGGAGTCCCGACCAACTATCCTTCCATCCATCCATCCCACGTCGTGTCTAGCACCAACTCTCATTCCACCCCGCCTACACGTCCTCCTCTTCCCTTCTCATCTCGTCCGTCCTTCTCATCCCGCCCACATCCCGCCCAACCTCCGTCCACACCGCCCGCCCGAACAACAATACCACGGCCCGCCTAGCTCAATCGGATAGAGCGTCAGACTTTTACGACTATCGTTAAGGCGGGATCTGAAGGCTGCGAGTTCGACCCTCGCGGTGGGCTAGTTGTTTATTTTTTTTGATGTTATCATGTTGTTGTTCGTGTTCGTGTTCGTGTTCGTGTTAAGGCTCCAACCATATAGTATAGGTATAGGCCTCAGCGGGTCAGTATACATATACAGTTTCCTACAGTATAATTACAGTATATATACAGTTATACTATTGTTTTATACTGTTGTATCTTTCGAAAAATTTCTGGGCTATCTTTTGCACTTTGAGCATTCATTGACATCAAATAACCTACTGCCGCTGGTGGTACGCAGTTAAACCACCTGCGCCATGTCTTCTTCTCTCCCAAATGACCTCCCAGTTGTGCATCGATCGATTCACCAGTGACCGAATGGAAACAGCTCAATATACTTTATACGAAT